CGAACGGGAAAAGCACATGTCTGGTGAACGATTCCAATGAGACCTGTCAAGGTTCATGAGTTTCACAAAGTCTGCAATCTGCTCACCCTTGCTGTGCTCTTCCCGTCTTTTTGTAGATCGCTGGGATTGTGGACACCAAGACCGAGAGGGCCTGGAAGGAATCCCATGATGCGTTCCGTGGCCAAGCGCTGGGGCAATTTGTGGGATGTACTCTGCTTTCAGGCCGCAGTGGGGTCGGGTTTCCGGTCCTGTTGACCAACCTGGTGGGGAACTCACATGTCTTCCACGGCGTCCAGGAGGAGGGCGGGGGTTTTGTGCAGGAAGTCGTATTCAGCAATCAGGCCGCGGCGTTCCAGTATTTTGGGAAGGTGTGCAGCCAGGCGGAGGTTGTTCGAAGAAAGAAAGGCAAGTCACTATCATAATCTCATCTCAAACGAAGTCCATTCCGAACTTCTCGTTTTGCTGCTGTGGTGCTCGGAAGGATCTTGTCCACCAAGACAGGTGCTGGCTTCTTCCCATTCGTCTTTAATGAGCACTGAAAAAGAAGTAGATTGTCTCTGCCGAGACTTTTTTGTTCTTCGGGGTCAATCCAACTTATGGTTCACGTCTTGATTTTGGGCATGGAATGCTGCAATCGTGTGACTGAAGCGTCGTTACGGGACTTGCGTCAAAGCGTTCACAACAGAAGGATAGTAATCTCAGATCTTCCCCCCTTCGGGTTTTGAAAAGTCCTGGAAGCTGGTCAGAGCTGGCCGCTTAGCTTTCGTCCCTCGTGTTGTGACTTTCAATCAGAGATTTTCTTCCTCTGGCTGCAGTGACAGAACTCCTTGCGGCGCTCGACAACCGACCTCCAAGACTCCCTGCCCCCCAACCATCGTCCCCCTTCCGGAACCCGCTTGATTCTCCGCAGAGCCACGGGCCTGTTGACAGCGACCTCAGAGAATGTGCGTACAGAGAGGTACGCCGGGAGCAGCCCCTGTTCAACCTGCCACCCTTCGAGATCATGATGGAGTACTTGTCTAACCTCGAGCAGGGTGTGGCGAGGGCAGCGGAAATCCGCTCGCGTCCGAGCTACATCATTTAGGGGCCCTTTGCTCTGGTTGCAAGGCTTGAGTCAAGTGTGTCTCGAACCAGTACTCAAAAGAATAATTGGGTGCAAGTGGGCCATGCCAAACAGTTTCTTGAGCGTTCTTTTAAGAGATGGAACGAATCTTGACAATGTGCACTGGTTTGAACGCTGCTGTGTATAGCACAGTGGTACAAATCGACGGCCTCATGTCGGACACTTTCTCGCGCGACGATGGATATTATGCATTGGCTTCGAAGCTCTTAGTGTATAGCTTGATGGTGCAAATGCATGGCCGGCCATGCCGCCCCTTTCCTGAGCGATGTTGCAGTCCATGGTACGAAGCCGTCAATTTGCACTATTCTTGGAGCTTTATTGTATAGCACGATGGTGCAGATTGACAGTCAACCACGCCTCCGCTTTCTCAAGCGTTGTTGGGTATATAGTACGGAGCCATGGATTTGCATTTGGGCTGCCAAGCTCAATGTATAGCTTGACGGTGCAACATGACAGCCGACCACGCCGCCGCTTTCTCGAGCAAAATTGCAGTCCATGGTATGGAGCCTTGATTTGCAACTTCATGCTCTACAAAGAAGCTTTCAAGAACAACGCAAACTGACGGGCCCATGTTGAATACTTTGTCGAGCAACATTGTAAGGGATGGAACGAGTTCGTTAATCTGCATCATTTTAAAAGGTGTTTTTGCAGAGCACGGTGGTGCAAATTGTCAACCCTCATGCCAAACACTTTGTAAACGATGCAGGCCAAAGGCGTCAATATGCATTGTTTTAAAAGCTTCCTTGTATAGCGAAAAGGTGCGGTTTGTCAGCCCCTACGCCAATCGGACCACATTTTGAGCAGTCTTAGACCTCCTCGAGCAATATTGTAAAGGATGGCACAACGCCGGCAATTTGCAGTGGTTTTGATCGAGCTTTTTGTGTCCAAGTGTCCGAAATTTCGATGAACATTTTTAGGTCGACCCCTTCTGATGACGTTAGCAGCACTTCCACCAATGATCCATTGTGGTTTATGGCGCGAACGTGTCCAAGTGTCCGAGTTTTTGATGAACATTTTTAGGTCGACCCCTTTTGATGACGTCAGCAGCACTTCCACCAATAATCCACTGTGGTTTATGGCGCAAACGTGTCCGAGTGTCCGAGTTCATTACGCACGTTTTTAGGTCGACCCCTTTGATGACGTCAGCAGCCATTCCCTGCACATTTCGCTAGTGATTGATGGCGCGAAGGTGTCCAAGTGTCTAAGTTTTTCAGGAACGTTTTCAGGTCGCCCCCTTTGATGACGTCAGCAGCCATTCTCTGCACTTTTCGCTAGTGGTTGATGGCGCGGAGGTGTCTGAGTGTCCGAGTTTTTTTGGAGCGTTTTCAAGTCGACCCCTTGGATGACGTCAGCAGCCATTCCCTGCACATTTCGTTTGTGATTGATGGCGCGAACGTGTCCAAGTGTCCGAAATTTTCATGATCCTTTTGAGGTCGACCCCCTTTGATGACGTCAGCAACAATTCTCCGCACTTTCGCTTGTGATTGATGGCGCGAACGTGTCCAAGTGTCCGAGTTTTTGATGAACGTTGTGAGGTCGACCCCCTTGGATGACGTCAACAGCCATTTACCCGCACTTTCGCTTGGGATTGATGGCGCGAACGTGTCCAAGTGTCCGATTTTTGAGGAACATTTTCAGGTCGACCCCCTTTGATGACGTCAGCAGCCATTCCCGCACTTTTTGCTTGTGATTGATTGCGCGAAGGTGTCTGAGTGTCTAAGATTTTGACGCACGTTCTTAGATCGATCCCCTTTGATGACACGTGTCAGCAGCCATTCTCCGCACTTTCGCATGTGATTGATGGCGCGAAGGGGTCCAAGTGTCCGAGTCTTTGATGAACGTTTTTTGGTCGACCCTTCCGATGACGTCAGTAGAGTGTCCATCAATAAATCACTGTGATTGATGGCGCGAACGTGTCCAAGCGTCCGAGTTTTTGATGAACGTTTTTAGGTCGACCCCTCTGATGACGTCAGCAAAACTTCCACACTGTGATTGGTGGCGCGAAGGTGTCCAAGCGTCCCACTTTTTAACACACCTTCTGTGTATCCTTATATGTTGTAGGTACTAGGCTCAGCCTAGGACATATAGATTTTGATCGAACCTCTTTGATAACCGTGTCAGCAGCCATTCCCCGCACTTCCGTCTGTGATTGATGGCGCGAACGTGTCCAAGTGTCCAAGTTTTTGATGAACGTTTTTGGGTCGACCCTTCTGATGACGTCAGCAGAACTTCCACCAATATTCCACTGTGATTGATGGTGCGAACGTGCCCGAGTGTTCCAGTTTCCTGCTCACCTTTCCTTTCGTCGCTTCGGGATGACGTCACCAACCATCCCCGGCCGTTTTATCTTCTGCAACAAATGATCACGCCTTTTTTGCTCCGATTGATGGGAACAAGGTTAATCATCATAAATCCTCTAAAACAAGTCTCCATTTCAAGTTCACATAGCTACTCAACTCTTGAATCCGTGAAAAGACTCACGTGCTTTTCGTCCCGTTTCCCGTGCAGGGAATGGCAAGGGAGTATGCAAGCAGATGCTGGAGACCACGCTGGGCGAATACTACGGCGTCATGTCCAAGGACGCCGTGGTCAAGGCCCCCGGACAACACCCGCCGTCCAAGGGCGCCGCCACGGGCTACCTCGCCGAGCTCCAGGGGAAGCGGGTGGCCGTGACGGACGAGACGAGCCCGGGCGAGCGCGTCGACGTGGGGGTTGTGCTCAAGATGACCGGCGGGGGCAAGGTCTCCTCCCGGCTCCTGTTCCAGAACAACGTCTGTAACGGCACGACTGCGCACCGACTTCTGGCTGCGCGCCAAACTCGCGGCCGCGCATCGTCCGTTACTATACGCTATCGACTTATTTGATATATCGAATCACTACACGACACGTGTCTGGATTACTGCTTCACCGCGTGACCGTCCGATAAGACCCACGTGCACCGCGTACGAGGGAACCGTCCGATGAGCTTTCGAGACTAAGCTTATGGCCGGCCGAGCACCGAAGCTTCTAGGCTGACACTTCGCGCTGC